AAATCGCCAACGGAATGGAATATTTAGCGAGTAAAATGGTATGTTTCAGTAAAATGGTATAAAATGGTATATTCCTTATATGACCCCTGGTGATTTAGAGGTACTCAAAAGTATTTAGTTTATTGCAGATGAAGCGTCCAAGCTCTACTCAACTAATAAGCTTAGGCTCACCCCTCTCCCCTTCCCCCGGAACTGATGGTGTTGATAATACTGATGAAATTGTTCAGTGTTGATTTAAATATTTCCTAGACAGTATCATCAAATTGTTTCTGTTTCCAGTGCATTCATCGTGATTTAGCAGCTCGTAATGTTTTGGTACGAAAGAATTGTACCATTCGCATAGCGGACTTTGGACAGGATAGACAGTGGGATTATCAGTATCTTGTGAAGAGCATTCAGTACGCATCACCGTTTAAGGCGATGGCTCGAGAATCAATCAGCGATTCGAGATTCAATGAAAAGGTTTGACGGAATATTTTCAACTTCCTAGTAACATTTTGTAATGTTTCATCAGATGGATTCAATAACCTTCCTTGTTTAAACAGAACTTCACCGTCATTAGGTAGATGAATCGCGCAGAGCGAACAAAATCATTTAGGTAAACCAATGACGTTATACTTCCTGAGATGAGTGCAGCATTTACTTACTTACTATTAGCTTTATCGAATAAAAGGTGAAGAATGCGTTTTCAAGTGCTTGAACATAAATAGATCAATGAAATTCTTTCCTTTCTTGTCTTAACGAACAGTATGTTTCAGTCAGATGTTTGGTCTTACGGAATCCTTCTTTGGGAGCTGTTCACGCTTGGTGATGATCCATTCAAAGAGTTTGAAACAGCGGATAAATTGACGAGTTTTTACGAGAGTGGTGGAAGGCTTCCGAAACCAGCGTTTATGCCGGATGACATGTAAGTTTAGCAACTGAATAAGTTTCGGTGTAAATTCCAAGAAATTCATAGGTATATCGCAAAGGATGCTTAAGACTACATTATTGGAATTTCATGTTCATATTGATTCACATTATGAAATCATATGGACGTTTAGGTCGAGTATAATGTCACAGTGTTGGTTGGAAGACCCCACCGATCGACCGACATTTTCGATGCTCAAAAAGATGACCGAAAGTGTTCTCCGTGTCACAAACCCTCAGGTAATGAATGCACCAAATACAATGAAATTCTTCTGGTTCAAGTCTACTGAAGTCCATCACATTGTTTAATCGTTTAAACTCAACGAAAACTTATACTCATCCTCAGAAGTAAAGATATTCTGCTTTCAACAAGCTGATTTCCAAAAATCTCACATCAGTATTCCGGTCATGGTTGTATTTCAGCTGTTGTTGACAACACATA